CGGGCAAACCAAAAGCAGTTTACTCACCACGCGATGTGTGAGGGTGGATGGCGGATACAAGCTGTTGCACTTTGGTATCGCCATCCACGTCTGTGTCTCTATGCGTAACACGTCGCACAAGGCCACAGGCATGATGTACATGTCTTGACGGACGTGTATGACAAAACATCACTACTAGTGATAGCCTCCACCCTAGTAGCGATGGTCTCTTTCCTAATTGTTTTCTTTGCAGCGCAAATAGTTTGTCGGTGCGTCTTGGACATGTGTGTGGAGCAGCGGCTGTTTTTGAGTCGCGAAAAGCGGCTACCGATCCACTATTGGTTCAGCTTACATTGCTATTAGGTTGGATGCCATTCCTCACTATCTTCAGCTTATACGATGCACATTTCGATTTGCGCGGTCTTCCTTCCTGCGCAGCCCAAGCCGCTAGGTCTAAGATGGCAACTCACATCCGATGCCGATTCTCAATTTTTAAACAAATTGTCGTCTGTTAGGTCCTAAGTTCTGCCCTTCAAGTACTGACATTTGCACTCCGAATCTAAAATACATGCAAATTTTACGCCTAGAGGCAGCAATCAGGGGGGATGAGGACACTCGCTGCGGCGTGGCTTCCCCTCTTTTCAACGTTCACCACAACCACAGGCAATTGATCCTAGTAGGTTGGAGGCCATCGCTAGTAGGTTGGAGGACATTGCTCTCAGGGGGGAGAAATTGTTTAGTCCAAACGTCCTGTCAAGCAATGTCTGTGATCTCCGCTCCGCGGAGAAACCGGGTCGGCAAGACCAGGGCGTTAGCCCATTCTTGAAAACATCCTTGGATTTTGATGTCTTCTTGCTTTGTACAAGCAGGCTGAAAACATGTTTTCCTGAATAGATTTACCTTCTAATGTGTCATTTGCGCATCCACCCACCTTGTTGTCCGTTGTCTTGGGTGAGGCAGGGGACCCAATATCGGCATTGAAACGGAATCCGACAGCGAGAGGAAACCTCCAAAGCAGATCGCAATGACGATGCCTCGGGGCGTGGGGATGGTGTCGTATACGCTGAAGCATGTACTTCAATGCAGGTGTTCAATCTACTAACGATGGCCTGCAACCTAATAGTGATAGCCTCCAACCTACTAGCGGAAGCATGTACTGGAATGCATGTGTTCAATCACATCAAAGCAACTCTTCGCACTGCCTCATGAGTCTCGATGTCTAATTGCTCCATGCCTCAAAAGCCGACAGCTCAAACTATGGGCATTTGCCAAAGGTTGCGTTTGTCTAGAGATACCTTTGAGCACTGTGAGTCCCGAGTCCTCAGCTGTCCAAGACTTTCTGTGCAGACTGTACAGAATCAATTGCAGGTTGTGAACCTTGCGCTCCACAATAACTTGAGGCACGCCGCGCGTCGTGAAATGAGGCGACAAATATGAAAAACATTGTAAACACATGTCAAATTTCTCAAACAACTTCAACATATTTTTCCAAGAAATACATCTGACGTTCAATCGTATGCCATACTGTGGAAATAGTACGTCTGGCAAGGCAAAGTGAAGAAACACGCCTTGGAGGTGCTTCAACGCCACATCAGCAAGGTGCTGGAAAAGGAGTAAATTCCGGTGGCCTTTTTGGAATCGACAATTCTCCACGTCTTTTAGCGCAGCACAAGCATGACGTAGACATGCAAACGACAATGCAAACTAGCAATAGAAATGGCCTCCAACCTACAAGCAATCTGATAACAAAGGCCGTTTTGAGACTACAAGCTTGTACTTCGTCTTGACACATTTCACTCCAACCTTGTGCTGCAAAGGCAAGAGCAGCTCTTCCAGGCAGCGCGGCATCATTCTGCCTTTGAGAGCAAAGCTGATCGGGATCATGTGCTGTGCCAGCGCTGTGCTTCTCATGTCTGTTCACAAAGTGTTTAAGTCACAGTTCTTCTCTCGCCATTATACCGATACCAAAAAGGCATCCGCGCTAATCCACAGCACCGCAAACTTTCATGCTCCACCAAAGGGTCGTGTATACCGAGTCCTATTTCACGAAGCCTTTTTCCTCAATCCTCATCACAGGTAGAACACGCCAAGGCTTAGGCTGCACTGCGCATGGGTGGAGGCATTGGGTAAATTTAGAATTAGCCGGTGAATGCTCAGCCGTTATGCAAGGGCTCTGCACCCGCTGTTCAATAATTTTTGTGCTGAAGCAATTGCACGAACCCCACCAGAAGAAACCTTCCTGGCTGAGGTCTTTGATTGGCGTCTGCCATCACAGATCAAACTTGGCAATTTTCACGAGTTCGGCAGTAACTTAGAGTATATATTCGCTTCTAGTAACAAGTGCCTTACTAGTAGTAACAGGTGCCTCGCTTCTAGAAACAAGAAGCTATTAGAATTAAATTAAAATTAAAGTAAAGTAAGTAATAGCTTCTTGTTACTACTAGTAAGGCACTTGTTACTAGAAGCGATGCACTTGTTCCTACTAGAAGCTTGTATGACCGCTGTTCGGCACAATGGGTCAGAAGGGCTTGGACATTCTGACCGCTCGCCCTCTCGGCACACTTGGTTCTCGATTGGACGCTACGAACGGGGCTGGCCATACTACTAGGAGCAAAGAAGCTAGTAGGAACAAGTGCATCGCTACTAGGAACAGGTGCCTTACTAGTAGTAACAAGGACGCTACTAGGAGCAAAGGGCATCGCCACTAGGAGCGTTCGGACGCTATTAGGGGCACTTTCAAGTCAACACATTAAATCAGGCCATACAAGTTGCCAAGTAGTGTTGTCAGCTCAACACGCAAAAGAACTTCAATGCCAATTCTATGCGTTCTTTAAATGTATTATTTGTCCAACACGTCCGTACCTTTTATCTTGACCACCTTCTACATCTTTTTATGCACTTTTCTGTCGATATCTCTACTTTTCTATGTTTTTGCTCTCACCAGAATCAACGATACTGTTCTCTGGTTTCTTTTTGACCTTCAAAGCATAGTCCCAGGCCTCCTGCATGCCAAACAGCTGTGTCAGGGAAAGTTGGGTGGAGTCTGACACTTTTGAACAACATGTAACATGTATGCAAAGGATTTTACGAAAGCTGAGGTGTATTAGGGCTGGTCGATGCCGTTTTTAGTGAGTTGGCGATGCAGAAAATGCATGTTATTGCTGAGGCATCATTTGCATCAGTAAGGTTTATAGATTGTAGGTACAGTCATCTCACTTTCAAACAAAACACAAACATTCCTCACCAGGGAATCAATTGCAATGCCCTGACTTACCTCTTCAAGGCTTCCTTGCCCAGAGCCTTGAAAGAAATGTCAAAAGTACAAAAACCATTAATGATTACTTGAAGGAACCTGAGCGAAGAGTAGTTTTACTAGCTGACAGGTCTTTTGGGGCTCCATTCACCCCCACACTCAAAAAGAGATGCATCTACACGCTCCTCTCATGATATTTCAGCACCGTGGGAGACAGTCACCATTTTCAACCTTTGCTTGCCCTTGCAAACTACTTTGCAATCTGTACTATTCAGCGCTTGGGTACTCGATGAAGTAGTACTCGGATGGCAAGAGGGCTCCAATCTTCGCAGCAACCCGTCGGCACAAAGCAGAATCTTGCTCACCAGCTTTTGAAAGTTCCTGGTTGCAATTGGTCGTGAATTGAACTTTGAAAGTTCCTGTTCTTTCCTGCTTGATGATGTGCAAACATGAAAACTCCGGGCCTCGAGCAAGGCAACAGCGTTGTGCATCGGAATCTCCTGCAACTTGATCATGCTTTGTTTCCGAAAGCTTGATCACTCTCAACCATGATCAAAAATACACAAGCAGCAGTCCCACATCACTTCCGCTGCACGCCTGTGGGAAATTCTGATCTCTAAGATTCTCTAAGCCAAAACCAAGGAAATTTGACATGGCACGTGGCGACGCGCACCCACATTCACCCGAAATCGCTTGGCAGGCACCTGGCCAAGAATTTCAGAAGGTCTCGGGCGTTGTCCTGGGAAACGAGTTGCGTCTCGCAAACGCCATAGCGGAGAGAATTCGGATTTTTGGCATATGAATGACTGAAGTTCGCAAGAACCTAACAATATCTCCAAACTATTTTCAACAGAGGCAAAGGTACTGTGATGGGACAAATCTATCCCTGTCGAAATCCCTAGAACAACCTCCGCATGGAAATTCGCAATAAGCAACACATCCTTCGAAAAGAGCTGAAATCACGCAACAACTGGTACGCTCAAAGGACTTTTGAACAAGAGGTTGTTTTGACCTTCAACAACCCGCTGCAGCCACTACAATGAAGTCACAGCCCACTGCGCAAAGCAAAGACCAATGATCAGGACCACCTGTTTTGCGGGCCAGGGTGTGCAGAACATGTGCAACACACACCTCTGCGTTGCCCAGCCCAGCCCAGCGATCTGCAGTGTGCTTTTATAGAAGAGAATTCCATATAATTCCACTATTAGCTTCTTGTGACTCGTAGTAGCGATGGCCTCCAACCTACTTGCGATGGTCTCCACCTAATAGCGTCCTTGCTACTCGCTTCTGTTTCCTTTTGTCTCCCTTCTTGTCTCCCTTCTTGTTGATGTCTCAAAAAGTGGACCTGGGAATGCTTCGTTGTCCCACCTGTTTGGGGTCTATGGTGGTGTAATTTTAATGAATAAATGTTGATTTGTTATACTGCTATGATATTAGTTTAGAAAACTTCACTCAATCAACTTTTTTTACATTTTTAGGAGCCCCTAGTAGCTTCTTGCTCCTAGTAGTAAGGCCAGGAGGCGCTAGAAGCGTCCTTGCTCCTACTAGCAAACTATATTGGATCTTTCTACTAGCTATGGCCTGCATTTCACGTCACAGTTCAGCGATCAAAGGTGTTCATATGAAGACACCTTCTTTCTAGATTGGTAGCAACAGCTTTCAACATGTTTACTGCAGAAACGATAGATAAGCCAATAAGCGAGTGAACTCGGAAAAAAATAACTTTCCTAACACCACACTGATACTCGGTTCTATATCTGCTTTAGTGAGGAAATGTCCCCCACCTCCGAAAAATCAACAACTGTGGTCAACAGAAGTCAGTTACAAACGAATTGGTATGTTTAGTAAAGAGGCTTCTGCCATGAAGAATGGCACTGAAAACTGTCTATTCCAGTTTGTTTAGTTTGGTTTAGCGTTTTTCCTAAACGACTTTCCAGTTCCAGCGACTCCCCCAGAAAACACAATTCTTCGCTTGTGCATTGTGCATATTTCAAAACCATGCAAATTGTACAATATGCATTGTAATTGTACATGTTTCCAGTTCCTACAAATCTTCCTCGTGCAAATTGTGTAAGTTTCGGGCGGACGCCCTTGAACACATGCAAAACACGTTCGGCAACCTTGTCTTCGTGGTTCTTTGTGTCCTCCTTCAAGCGGCGCGGCAAGATCTTGGCAAACACAGTCACTGCTGGACCGGGGACCTCAAATCTCCAGGCACGGGCAACGATGTCTTTCATTCTCCAGCGCTTAAAGTAGGAAGAATTCTAAGTGAGAAAACAACGTTGTTGCCTCTTGCAGCAGCAAAGCACGCAACAATAGCATTGAGCGCTGTGTAAACACGCAGCGTTTGCACATGTCCTGATGAGAAAATTTGAAAAGAACGTATCGGCTCTCAGAATGGTGGTCTTCAAACTGGCAGCTATGCTATTCTATTCTTTCTGATAACAAAACTAATGCGCTATGTTACAGTTGTAAGTGTACATGATGTATGCTACCGCACCCCAGAGTTAAAGCATGGATGCATCATGATGCGTCTGCGCTCTCAGAGGTTGATCCACGCACGGTCCCCATACACCTTCCCTCAAGTGCTGTGCAAAGACTTGGGACAAGCAAACATCTGCGTAAGGTCACGAGTTACTGGGTATTCCTTTAAACGCACATGTGACATCATGTGAACAAAACTAGATTCTCGACCTAATGGTGATGGCCTCCACCCAGTAGCTTCTTGTTCCTAGCAATGCCAGGAACTACTAGTAGCTTCTTGTTACTAGTAGCGATGGCCTCCAACCTACTAGCGCTGTTGAATCTGGAATGAAAAATACTAGCTTCTTGGCGATGGCGAGGAAGGACGGCACGGCTGGACGCTGGAAGGGCGTCCATTGCAGAAACACCAGCTGGGCGTCGAGAACATGTTCTGTGCCCAGCTGCACGAAGGGATGTTGGTGCCTTCGCGCCCAATTCTACACGGCCGAGAACCCACATCTGGGGCAAAGGATCCGGTGGCCCGATGGAGTTAAGCATTAAGCGTAGAACTTTCGGCGCGAGACTCTGGGAATGTCATAAGAACCGTCCTCTTGAACCACAGGACAGTCTTGCTGAAATGCAAAATCATTTTGGCTGATTGTCTGGCGCTTCATTGCCATCGGTTTCCTTCTGGGAGTGCGGACCTGGGGGCAGTACCCTTTCAAGATTCCAGCGGGTGGGAATGGCCCCCCCTATTTCGACAGCCAAGTTGTACAGAACTGCAGAAATGACGTCGGCCTAGTTCACTCGGAGGCCCCTGTAGTAAGTTCCTGTTGGCTTCTGTGGATTCCTGCTGCGCAGCAAAATTTGAGCAGCAACCACATGCAGCAAGATCAGCAGGAACACAAAATGAAAAAACACACAATCAACCATGAGACACATTACAAGCAACTTGCCTTTGGAAAACATTTCACTGAACTATTGCAACTCAGGCAAAATTGAGCTTTGGGCTGGTAGCATTTTGTCTACAACCAGGCACTGTGCCGGTTTGGAAAAATTGTTTACCAAGGCTTAATGCCAGCTCAGCGCAGATGAGTGCTGGCGAAACGCCAGCCACAAAATCAAAATAGAACTGCCCAAAATTTAAACATGTATCCACTATCCACTCACCATGTCTCTGAGTGATCCGTGCCACATGTCTGCTTGCCAAGACCTGGAGCCAACAAAGACTGTCAGTACAAAACGCGCATGTCAAAACAACATGCAGGAACCGTTAGTTGCACTCAACGATTATTTTGCTTGTGTGAAGTGTTTCCTTGAAGAACCCTCCTTCCAGTTTGCCTCCTTAGCCGCTAAGCTCCTATGTGCTTCCCCAGCAACTAGACGACGGGTGGACCGAGAGTGAAGAGCTGCGAGGAAAAACTTAGAAGAGAAGAAGGCGCGTGGAAGAAGAGAGTGGGCGATAGAAGCGAAGGCGGCAAAATGCAGGCGGTTCTGACATGCATGCTGATGATTGAGCCACGCGCAAGGATTTGGGCGAAAATAAACAAGGGGTCCTTCAGTCCAACACCAAGCAGCTTTCGCTTTGCCGAGATGTAAAGCAACGCAAATGAATTGATGAATGATTCAAGCTAGGCGCCTTTGGCTTCGTGCTGCCGCTTTGCGCCGGCCTCTGAACAAAAGATAAAAACCACGTTCAAAACAGCCGCCCCAAGTCGAAGCACCCCCGCGCGCGCCCACACCTGCGTCCAATGAATGGCCTAATGGCATTTACTACAACATGATGCCATGTCAAAGCGGCGCCCCGCAGACTCACGCATTGGGATGCTTGCCTGCAGAAGAACGCGCAGATGTTTTTGACTGTCGAAATGCTTGATGAACGCATCCATGGCTCGACCTTTGGGACGCGATGAACCGACTGCTCAGGTCGAAGCGCCCGCAACAAAACCCTTAAGTAAAAGTACGCAGCGCAGCAACGCAAAGGATGCCCGAAGACAAAATTGCGCCACGGGGCAAGCCAACAACAAAATGACAAAAACGCTCAGCGCCTCGTGCGCCGACGTCAAAGGGCTTCGGCCCACCCTCTGACTAGGCTTGCTACAGCGCACCTCGTTCCCAATGACCGTTCCCCCTGTCTTCCACTGAACGTGACCTAGAATGCACCACGTATGGAAACTGCGAAACTTCCAACTGCAGATCTTGTTCACAAAGGCCGCCGCCAACATCATAGCCTGCAGTGTTTCAGTTCTACCCCGCCGGCCCCTCCTGCCACAGAGCATTGAATACAAGGGGCTCCACGGTGAAACCAATACAGGTCACTAAGTTCCTGACCACCGTGCACAGATGCAGGACAACCCAGCAACTCTGCATGCGAAGGCAACCTTACTTAGAACAGGTGTTTGACAAACACAAATCCATAGTCTATTTGATATTCTTGGACTGACTTGTGAGATTCCTGCCTCTAGATTCACAACCCGCACAAACTTTTGCAACACAGTCGCAGAACCTGCTTGGCACGCAGGTAGGCTGTTTTGTGAGCATCATCCTGGCTGCGCCATGCCCAAGCGTACCACTGCGAAGATGTTGCTGGAGACTCGCCAAAGCCTACCGGGAGCCCATCATCTTTGCCACTACGGACCTGGTGAAGACCTTTTGACCAGTTGAGGCTGAAGGCTGTGACAGAGAAGAAGACGACGTAGGAATTCGGGGCCAAAGCCAACTGCAGGTCCGCGTCCAATAATGTTTTTCTCCTAGCTTAGCAATGATGTCGCTCACCTTTGAGAAGGGACGCGCCCAGTCTATGGGTATCAGTTTCTGTTCAACCGTGTGGTGTGGTGGGCAACAAACAAGTTCCTTCCCTCGGCTAAGAAAGGCTTGACAGCATGGCATCGCTGACGGCCGGCAGCGATGAGGTTGCCGGCACGGAGAGGTGGTTTTGCGCTAGGCCAAAACCTGGTGCATAGAAATGGGCCATGCGCAATTGCGCCGATGGCGCCTACACCATACATACATCGGGCCTTCAGACATGACAGCGCTGCAACACCAACAGTTCTGTCCGCCAGTGAAGCGTACCATGAATCTCAGCCATGGCAGGTAGCGCTAGCGCCACACGATCTTGGGAGGTCTGGTCTGGTCTGGTCTGGGCGGTGTAGAACAGTCGACAAGGGAGATGGGCGCTGAAGGCATTGTAACATGACATCTTTGATGTCGCTGCCAGCATCTTGTGCCATGCCGCTAGCGCGTTTGCAAAGATCCCTGCCCTAGGGGAACGGGTCTCGTTAATATGCAGCGGTCAGTGGTTTCCACATCTGGTGTAGATTGGCCGTGGCCTTTGTTACTGATTTTCGATTGTTCTCCATGCGGCTTGAGAAGCCCCCACGGAGTTCTAATGGTTTTCATGGTTTTGGGAAGGACTTCGTCAGTTGTCTGTAGTAGGCGCAAACGTTAAGGGCATAGCTGTAAACACTATGTAGCCACTGATGGAATTTTTAGTGTTCTTGTAGTCAATGAAAAAGCTCACCGTGCGGATCTTATGGCTTCAACTTAGGGCTCCGCTCTTACGATCAAAAAATAATGCGTCCAAAGTACTACGGCAGTAATCACATGGCTAAAGCCAACAGAGCTTGCGCAGTGGTTATGGTTGGTACCTCTACTAACTTCCATGACTCAGGGTGCAAGCTTGAAACCATTTCGACGACAGTTGCACACTTTGGCACTCGCCACGCGCGATTCCCGCAAAGGGTTCACTTTCGTGGTGTCTCGTCCGACCCACTGCTGCCTACGAAGCACGAAGTAAAAGATCTGAAAGTTGAAGATTTGGGATGTAAAAATGTGAGATGCTTGTGAGAAGACTTAATTTTTCAGGAGTGTTTCTAAATGAAGAACCCTTCGTTCAAACGCTTTCGGAAAAACAATAACGTTTCTCTGTCTCTTTAAAGGTTTCACTATCCATGAGCATCTCAAGTTTCAAGTTGCCTGCGCAGCCATGGGCCCAAAAACATCTCTCCGGGAACCTGCCATGTCTGGCCTGAGTAGAGCGGCTCCAGAATTCATTTTTTTTTAGCTATAGAAGCAATGCTTTAAATTGCCAAATGCAATCGTATCTATCGAGATGGCGTGGCGCTTAACAGGCTCGTGTTCTTGGCTCGTAGGCGCAGGCCGATCGAAGGCACGGGCCAGGATACTTAACTCCAATGGCTCGAATAGATGCATCGACTTCAAGCACCTCTTGCACCATGCGTTGATCAAGTTCAGCTCTGCATGTTGCAAGCTTCTCGTGAGCAAGCATGTGTTCAATGCCTCTTTGCCAAGACTTCCCAGAAAGCTGTCGGAAACTCCTTGCCACGGAAATCGATGATGTCCTCACATCAAGTTTTGGAACAAATCGGAAAGCAACACCATGCAAAAGAACCATACATGCAAAACACCATATGTTGCCACCTCTGCGGTCGAGCGTGTGCTTTCTAATGCTGCAGAGCAGGTTTCAACGATAGTACTTGAGTGGACACTTAATGTGTTTCCTTGGCGAAGCTTCGTCCAGTGGCCCTTGTTTGCAAATATCTCACATCAACACCACAAAGTATTGTTTTTGAAAGACAAAGATTGAAACCAATGTTTTCTTAAATATACCAATACGCGACTGGTGTCTGTTTAAAACAGTTATTTGGTTTGCTTCAATCAAGACTAGGGTGTTTCCTTCCACTTGTTGGTTTATAGGAAGATAGAGCTTGTGATTTTCGTCAGTTGAGTGGCTTCAATCCAGGTCACAAACATCTCCAAACATGTGACAGCCACCAAACCTGGAGCCCCAAAGCAATTGTTGCCTTTGCCTTGAAAAAGGGGCAAGCCCCGCAAAAGGGCCATGCCAGTTCCACCTGCAACTTTGCAGCAAAAGGGTGAGCCATACTGCCACCTGCAGTGAATAGCCCTGGCTGTGGGGAAGCATCCGGAGATCCTATGTGACGAATGAGGTGCCACAAGCAGATGAGTCATTTACAATAAAGGCAAGTTTCCCAATGAAAGGAGAGAGCCTTGGCAGGAAAGAGTTGAAATCACATATCTGGAAAAAGAGTGATTTTGTCCGTTGTCCAATTTGATGTATCTTCACCAGGTGGAAAGGACAGGACACGATGTGGTAAAAGCTAGAGTCTAGAGAGTCTAGAGCCTTTGCAGCCAAAATACGTTGTCACGAACAACTGTTCTTGGAAGCAACTTCTTTTTTGATATATTTGTTGTTTTGTTGCAATGTTTTCGACCAATATGGTTGCGGCAGGATAAGAAAACAACGGAAACGGTTTCGGGGTTCCATGTCCTTTCCTGGTGCTGTTTGCGGATACGTTCATTCCTGTATAATCTGTGCATTATCTATTGCTACTTAGAAGATATACAGTAGATCTTAGGAGTTATGACGGCCTATTAGGGTGGAGGCCGTCGCTTAAGTAACAAGGGCATCGCAAGTAGGGTGGAGGCCGTTGCTATAGATGTTATGACGGCCTGGTTACCTGATTCTCGGCTGTCAGAGCAGAAACCGTGATGAGGCGCGTTCAGCATCTTTCAATGTCTGGTTTCCAGGGCAATCTGCAAGCGCTCTCTGGGGCTATCGAGGTTCAATGCGGTTCATCAATGCGGCAGCGTGCTCACGGGATGCGCTCAAATTCAAACAATCGGTTTGGACACCGCCATGTTGGTGTAGGCGCGTTTTGCCTTTGGTGGCACGGCGTAGGGCGCTTGATGCAGCACCTTTATGGTGTGAAGTGCAACTGTCAAACCATGTCTATTACTGATTACTGTTGGAGATCGTTTTCAACATCTACTGTAACATGTCACATCCTACTTCATGTGACAAGGGTGGGAAACAATCATGTAACATCCTACTTCTTGAGCTCATCTGACTCACAACACTCAATCATGGCCAAAGAGAGTCTTTGGCTAAAGCATTTTTCCGCTTGCTCGAAGATCAAACAGCCCACACACTGTAACACTAGAAACCGCCGAATGGACCTGCAGCCATATTCAGTGTGAAGTGCAGTGCATCGTTTGTGTTTCTCTTGAATTTCTCGTAGGTTGCACCTAGACATACAAGGATCCTTTGCATGGCTCAATATCCGTCACACCACTGGAAAGCTAAACCCAGCCATGCGTCCTGAAGCGTCTCCAGAAGCTTTCTGCGGTCAGCCATGATGAGAACCTCATTGTAGTGCCTTTTCCTCAGGGTCTCAAAGGAACACCCCAAAAACGAGAACTTGCAACATGCCAAATATGACGATGTTTAAGACCAAGTTCCTCCAAGTGATCCGCTTGGCCTTGTAGCGGTATAGAAATGGACCTTCTGTGCTCGCATGTCGCATCTGCCTCACCGAATGCACACCGCTGATGTCTCACCGGAGGAAGAACGTAGTGAAGAGGCGAGAGTGGAGCAGACGATGAGGAGCGATGAGAGTGAAGCGAACGGGATGAAGGAATCCAACTGATCAAAAACGAGCAGCGGGATGATTCTGATCTCTTTCGGTGTCACGCTTGACAGGCGCGGCACTGGCCTCCTATGTCGATGAGTACTTTCGAGTTCAAGGCGCATCGAGCCTCCACCCTACAACGAAAGAAGGCGAGAACTGACAAAAAGGATGCAGGGATAGGTCCACTGAGCGTGGGTGTTCCACTCTTGCATGCTTGACATCATTACGAAACGATGTCAAGCGCGATTCCATGGTATCATTGCTGACGAAGTCGTGTGGGCCTGGACTGTCGGTAGTCTGCCCCGTGATGTGGCAAAAATGCCCCTCACTGCCAATGTTCACAGGGGAAGGCCTCTTTGGCTATCCCTTCAGCCAAACCAATGAAACTTCCTGTGGATAAAACACGGTAAAACACGAGTCTGCAACATCCAGTGTAGGTTGGTGAGGGCATGCGAAGTGGTGATGTCATGCGCTGTATGTGATTCGCTTCAGGCCAACACCAAAAAAGGTTATTAAAAAAGGCAACAAGAGAAGCCGACCAAAAATAGAAATCAGTAAAAATTTAAGAACAACTAAAACAAAACAAAACACCATGCCTAAAGAAAACAAGACTTTAGAGCAAATCGGAGCAGGTCAGAGGGGTTCCGGAACCAGTTCCGGAGGAAGTTCCGGAGCAGGTGCAGCAAGTTGCTCCCCGGTCAGCTTCCGGTTGGCTTCCGGGGAGCTTCTTTGTTACTACTAGTAAGGCACTTGTTACTAGAAGCGTGGCACCTGTTACTAATAGCTTCTTGTTACTACTGCTGCTTGCACAAAACGTTCTGGGGCAAGTTTCGGAGTCAGAGCGGGTTTCAGAGCAGGTTCCTGAGTTTGGGAGCAGGATCCCACAAGTTCCGGAGTGCTTTGCAAATATGATGAGATGAGATGCCTCTATGATAATGTTATCATGGCGAGGTACTGACATGTCATGATGCTGGCCTGTTGTTGCGCTGACATGCCGTCAGGCTACCATGCGGTTTCTGCTAACCTGCTAACACGTTATATTTCTGACACGCTAAGGTGTTTCTAATAGCTTCTTGCTCCTAGTAGTAAGGCCAGGAGCCCCTAGTAGCTTCTTGTTACTACTAGTAAGGCACCTGTTACTACTAGCGTGGCACTTGTTTCTACTAGCTTCTTGTTTCTACTAGCTTCATGTTGGTGTGTTGTGTAAATTTAAGAGTGCTGTCAAGGAGATGTGTCGACACGCTGACAGTTGATATGCTGGCGTGGTGTCATGTCGACAAGTTGTCAGACTGTCATGCTGACATATTGTCATACGGGCATAGGTCACACCATACTAGGAACAAAGGGCATCGCTACTAGGAGCAAGGACGCTACTAGGGGCTCCTGGCCTTACTACTAGGAGCAATGTTCGCTACTGGGGGCTCCTGGCATCGCTACTAACATGCTGTCGTGCTACCGGACCGGGCTTACTTGCTGGTGGGCTCCAAAGCCAGTTGCAGAAGAGGTTCAATGGTTTTTGTTTTGTTGCGGAGTGTTGTCATGCTTGCACATATTTAGGCAAATGTGCTACACTGACATCCTGTTCACACTTTTGAACACAGCAGGGTCCAACAACCAAACACCACTTGTTAGCAAACTTGCAAACGTCACAAACTTGTTGACGAGGGCCATTGCTTGATCAGCAAATTCATGCCCAGCTGTTGGGGATAGTTCTTGCTATTTTTGGTTAAGAAAAAGACGAAAACACCTGTGCTGCAAGACACTAGTCACCGCATGAAACCGTCCAGACTGCCCCGGACCTGTGCATCCAAGTTCCTGTCCCAAACGTAGATTACATGAAAACACAGCTCTGCTGTCTTGGCATCGTGCGGGTGAGGAGTGAAGCGGACCGGGGAAAAAACCAGATTGCAAACAGTAGATGGCCTCCAACCTACTTGGCTTGATGGCTTCAAGCAGACTTCTCGCAAAAATGCAGGAAAAACAGTGCCCCACTCGATCTACTTACTCTGTTTGGCATGACCCCGAACCCAAAGCCACATTTCAGTGCAACAGTTTACAAAGTCCTAGTGATCTCGCACGCAGGCCATACACGTGGCACACACTTTGCCGTAGCAAGCCCGCCCCTGCCCTTTAAAAGGAGAGTCCAACCTGACTGTTCCAAAGCATCTTTTTCTCAGTGCAAACACAGACTATCGCTATTAGGTTGGAGGCCCTCGCTAGTAGGTTGGAAGCGCAGCACATGTTTGCACAATTTTGCACATGGCACGGATCGGGCCTCCATAAGAACATCAAGGCTTGTCGTGGCCGTCCTCACCCGAACTGGACGGCCCAGCACTCCCCAGTAGCAAGGCCAGGGCTCCTAGTAGCGTCCTTGCTCCTAGTAGCGATGCCCTTTGCTCCTAGTAGCATCCTTGCTCCTAGAAGTAAGGCCAGGAGCCCCTAGTAGCGTCCTTGCTCCTAGTGCAAAAACAAGCTGAAGCCCACGAACCCGAATGCAAACACGTTCGAAAAGCTACATATGTCCAAATGACACTCTTGTAGGACACTCTTGTGGGACACTCTTGTGTGACGCTCTTGTAGGAAGCTCTTGCGGGGCACTCTTTTGGGACACTCTTGATACCACAAATCATCCCGCTCACCAGCGACATTCCACCAAGGCCGCCCGCAGACTCTCAGAGTTAAACGAGAACCCTTCGCAGACACTCTCGGGAAAAAACAAATCACTCAAATGTGCGACCATAAACGCACCTTCAATGCGAGAAGTAGCTTCTTGTTGCTAGTAAGGCCAGGAGCCCGTAGTAGCCTCTTTGCTCCTAGTAGCGATGCCCTTGCTCTTAGTGCAAAAAAAACGCACCTTCAATGCGAGAAGCCATGACTTCGGAAAGCAACGAATGAGCGCCTACGTGACATGCACCATCTCTGCTAGCATGCTGGGTTTTTGCCGGTGTTCTGCACCAACTTCGGATTTTGAATCTAGGAAGAAGAACACTGAGTGAAATTTGACTTCATTTATCGTTGTACTAGGTGATTTGGAAGCTGGCACCATGAAGTCATGTATGCATAGGTCGTTACGAGGGACGTATGTTGGTCACAGAGTTTGTCTGTCGCAGTGCCCGTCAACAGGTCCGGTCAGTTGCTTCCTTCGTCCCGAAAGCGAGGATTTTTAGTAGTGATTCCTAGTTGCGAACATTGCTCCTAGTAGCTTCTTGTTACTACTAGTAAGGCCAGGAGCCCCTAGTAGCTTCTTGCTCCTAGTAGTAAGGCACTTGTTTCTAATAGCTTCTTGTTACTACTAGTAAGGCACTTGTTCCTAGTAGCGATGCACTTGTTCCTAGTAGCGAACATTGCTCCTAGTAGTAAGGCCAGGAGCCTCTAGTAGCGTCCTTGCTCCTAGTAGCGTGGTTGTCGAAGTCTTGTACGAAATGTTTGTCGCACCAAATCTTCCCGCTTGAGTGAGAGATTGCGGAATCTGAGCAGGGGTTGGAGGCCATCGCTCTTGGGCTGGAGGCCATCGCTCTTAGGTTGGAGGCCATCGTTGCAATGCTTTCGGCACTTGTTTCTAGTAGCTTCTTGTTACTACTAGTAAGGCACCTGTTACTACTAGTAAGGCACTTGTTACTACTAGCGTGGCACTTGTTTCTAGTAGCTTCCCAAAGGTTTACAAGAAGTGTCAACACAACATGCAAAATCACAAAGCAAAACGCAATGGCAAAAGCTACCAGAACCTCTCCATGAGAGCACACGCACCTCTTCCTAATAACATACAGGCTAACGCCTCGCAGGGACATGGGATGATATTTTATCTAACACCTCACTAATCAAGCAGCGACCACTCTGTATGGAAATGGCTGCCAGGATTTCTTTTGCGGATCTGATCCAGGACAAGGCGAGCTAAACTCAGCAGCAACTTTTGCCAGGTGGCCTCTTGGGGTAGGAAGGCTGGATGAATTGAACTCAGCTGCATTTCCTGTCCACTAGGAGCATGGACGCTACTAGGGGTTCCTGGCATCGCTACTAGGAACAAGCACGCTACTAGAGGCATCTTCTTCTTCTTCTTCTTCTGTGACCCGGAACCAATGTTCAGAATCTCCTTTGTGAGTGCCTGAACTGAGAACGTTTTTGTTCAATATTTTTTCTGTTTGGTTTTGCTGTCATTGCACAAGTGGTTTGGCATCTGTTTTGGGTTATAGTTTCACTTGTGCGCTTTCCGTGATTGCAATCTGTCTCACATGGTAGCGGAGCATCATTCCGTTTGAGCCGGCTCCCCGTCTCCAGCAGCAACAGTTCCAATGTCTAGTGCGAACACTCCTCAGTTGTTTGGTGGCAGTCAGGGTGATGCATTTTCAACACTTCAAGATGGGCTGCGAGCATTTGATGAGGTGTTTAAACAGGGTCGGACGCCTGACAGATATGCGTCCACACGTCGAAGATCTGCGAATCCCTTGCCCCAGATGATGGACACAGAAGAGTTGAAAGCTCCGCTGAGTGAACTTACCAGGGCACTGTCTGGCCTGACTCCGCGACTTGTCGCGGTTGAGGAGACCAATCGAGCCAGTGCTGGACAGATGGCAGCTCACGCTGGTCTGCTTCAGGGATGGCTAGCTTTGAGCAGCGCCTTCGTGAGTTAGAGCACGCAAGATCCAGTTAGGCGCGTCGAGTTCAGCGCCAGTGGGAGGACACCAGATGTCATTTCCAATGTTTCCTTCGACTGTTTCACCCCCACCTCCTCCGCCAACATCGACACCGGAGATCAGTTGTTGGGCGGCAAGTTCGACGCGAAATGGGTGCCCAAATGCTCACTCCTGGATGGCAGAACTGGAAAGGACGAATCTCAATCTCGTCTTTGTGGACCTGGATTGATTCCTTAGGCAGTTGGCTCTCACTTCTTCACCCTCGGTCCTGAAATCAAGGAGAGTTTGGACAACACGCTCTAGGTGGAGGAACCAAACCAGAACCATCTTCAATCCCAGCCAGGTGGCAACCTCTTGTCCAGGACATGTTGAGAACCACCCCAAACTCCACTCAAACCATCAGGTTGTCCCAAACCATCAGGTTGTCCTACTGCGCCCGCACTGCTGTTGGTTAACGCACTGCTGAACAGGCCCATACTGTGCCCACGCCTGTTACTGCTCTCCTTCCAGGTCCAGAACGCCAAGGATCACAAGCACAAGGTGGACGGAGTGCGTCAGTCTCAAAACGGGTGCGGTTCACCACTCAGACCATCCTCAGTGGGGCTGGACGAAAGACGGAACATGACAGAGACAGCAACCGTTCATGTTTCAACAGCAAGGATTTGATCCTGTGCAGCAACAAGATCCATGGAGACTTTCCTGTTCTGACAGTTGCAGCCAGACGGTACCTAGCCTTTTTGGAAACCTGCCAGCTGGTTCAGTTTATGTTCTTCATGGAGGAATTTCTTCAGATAGCTATTAGACAGCTTCACCTGGTGGAAGCTTTGGCGATGACAACGCCGACAGGTGACCAGAGCTGTGCGGGAAGAGTTTCTGTGAATCAGTTTCAAGGTTCTTCTTCCTGGAATTCACCACAGTTGGAAACAACTTATGGGTTAGGAGTGTGGATTTCAGCAAGGAGTTCTACCACCTGTTGGGACTTGGGAGAATGGAGGTTCACACCCTGCTCATCCCTGCTCCATTTCTCATTTGCTTCAATAGAGTCTAGAGGCAGGCTTGAGCATCAATTCGTCGAACCCTACGATTCCCTGCGGTTCATCCAATTTTGCAATGGAATTTGCTACGATCTGGAACTCAAAGTTTACTTGAACGATTTGCATTTTTTCTTGCATCTGCAGCAAAAAAGGTCTGATCCCTAGTATATCCCTAGTTTTTGATTGGATTTCGATTCACATATGTTCTAAGTCAAAGAAACTGAGAGTCATTCCCGTTAAATACCAGCATGACATAGACCTGCTTGAGCATGCAGTCAGCAGGACACCTTTCTTTCGCATTGCATTTTGCTACTCGAACACATTGGTTGGCGCAAAGGATCCAAAGGGCAGCGTCTCTGTTGGCCACTGTGCCTGGCTGTCAGTGCGAAGCTGAAGGCCCAAACGAAGCGAGAGAACAGGGCATTCTCCCACATCGGGTTGGACAAGTATCTATGCAAAGGCAGTTGTGTTTTTATTTTATCGTTCTCTTTCGTTTCTTGTTTTTCTGTTTTACTGCTTTTAAAGCCCGGGGGAATAGGCCGTAAGAGGCAGATAGTAGAGGCTTAAGTAAGCTCCTAAGCAAGATGCAGGATAGCTCACGCTTCTTCGAAGAAGCTCCCCCCGCCTGAGGGCGGGGGTGAGCTTCCATGAAGAAGCGCTCACACTAATCATTTCGTTCCAAGATTTTTAGAAACAAATCTAACCCCAATAATCTCTGCTCAACTCTAATCATGTGTTGGCTCTAGTTGTTCTACGGGTTTGAGATGCCGAATATTTCGGTACGTGACCTCTGCCATAGAGCTTAAAGCGATACTTCAGCCAAGGGCACTTGCGCATTGGAACATTGTCAACATTGTCAACATATGTGGCTAGCCCGCATGAAGTGGCTGCTAATGTTGTGTGCATGATCCTGCAAGGAGATCAACGAGGTGATGATTCGATTTGATTCAACAAAATAGCAATGGCCTCCTATTAGTAGTAACAAGAAGCTACTAGGAACAAGTGCATCGCTACTAGTAACAAGTGCCTTACTAGTAGTAACAAGAAGCTATTAGGAACAATAAGCTACTAGGAACAAGTGCATCGCTACTAGTAACAAGTGCATCGCTACTAGTAACAAGTGCCTTACTAGTAGTAACAAGAAGCTAGTAGACACAATAAGCTACTAGTAAGTTTCCCTAAAAGGTCCAGGAACCAAATCATCAGTGCGAGCGCTTCTTCAGGGCGGCGGGGGCAGCTTCCTTGAAGAAGCGTGAGCTTTGCTACTTGTTAGCTACTAGTGACTCCCGTTTGCTTCTACTAGCTACCCCTAGCTAATCTACCTCTTCCTCTTAGTGGCCTAACCCCCCCTTTTGAAACATGGCCAGCACGGCTTTGGCCCAAGATTGCCTGCGATCAACAGGCTGGTGCCAACACTTAGATGGAACTATTGCGCTGGTCTTCGAGAACTTGAGACGTGGACCTGGCAAGCTGTTCTTTTTGAGGTATGAGTCCAATGGTGCCCCTGCTGTGGATTAAGTGCTAATGGTTCTCAAAAGTTTGTTTCTCTCACTTTGAAGATTCCTCGTAAAAAGGGGCTTGAGAAGACTTGAGCAATTGCATTCGAGAGTGATTTGATTTTCGCATCAGATCTGTGCGACGTGAGCCAGTTTGCCCAACGTTGAATGACAAATGGTTTCCCTGTGTGCAGTTCTCACTTAATCTTGTTGGAGGTCCAACATCATCGAATAAGAGCCGTCAAACCTATTGAACCAAACACATAAAACAGTTACAAATCGCTATTCAATTAGGTTGGAGGCCATCGCTATTAGACACAGATAAAAGGAAGAAAGAAGGCCATCGCTACTAGGGGCCCCTAAGGGAAGAGAATGTGAACATCTAAGTGCTTGATCTGATGGCCTCCAACCTGCAAGAAGCTGGACACAAGTTTCTTTGAAGACCACGAAGGACCGCGTACGACAAAACGGAAACTTGCCGAGAGTGCCCTCACCACTCACATCAATGATCCTTGGACATGCTGTCAAGCAGGTGGAACAGTGTCACACAGAATGGATGCTGGGCTCCAGGCCCAAAACCTCCACATCAAGATTTCTGTCTGGTACCTCAAAAGGACTGCCGGAAAATGACAAGAAAATGAAAACAATATCATTCTCTCTTGTTACTAGTAGCTTCTTGTTCCTAGTAAGGCCAGGAGCCCCTAGTAGCTTCTTGTTCCTACGCAAAAACATATTGCAAGGTCCAGTTTCAAGTCTCAAGCTGGAGTAGAGTAGCGACATGGACGAGGAGACTTTCAAACAGGTCGGAACCTGCTCGAAGAGGGGTTCTAAGCAAGTGTTCTGCCGGTCGATTGGTACAAGGTTCTTAGTTAAGAAGAAACGGACAGCACATGTAGAATATAGAAGACAGTCCAACAAATGGAGACGCAAGCTGACATGCAAAACACACTGGCAAAAAGCAAACAAACGTTCATATCTCTATGTCTATTTTTATGGCACCCCCCAGGACCCCCATTGAAAACGTCATTGAGATGACTTTAAAGTAAAGACAAGGGTGGTACAATATACACAAACAAGTATTTGTTTTCCTTGGACCCTTGGCTTCCAAAAAATGTGGGCATCTTAGATCTTAGAACATGAAAGGTCTTAAGATCAACCTAAGACCAAGTCTCGACACTAAAGTCTCTGGAGTAAAGCTTCCATAGAAGGTGTTTGTACTAAATTTGCTGGAGGTGATCTAGAGTCTCAAGCATGTTTCCTTGAAGGCCATTGCTACGACACGATCCTCTACTTAACTGGGCAATCCCCCTACTCAAGCTCATGGGCTTGCTTGCTCCTCTTATGCAGCTCTTTCTCTACACTTGATTTACACTCATGTGTTCATTTTACTATTCCTCTCCCCTCAAAACTCTTCCCAGTCTCAGTTAGGCTATACACTTCTTGTATACTTTTGTCTATACTCTCAAATTAAATGTGCTCTGACACATCCAAAACGTGATTTAGTGTAGTCGATGAAGAAAACACCAATAGATACGAGGAAAATCATAGTAAAGCTTTTATGGTGGCCACTTCTGAAGGGTGAGCTCTCCGTCGTCCGTTCCCCAGTAGCTGCCAGTAGCTACTACCTCTTACTTGTTAGCTACCACCGCTACAAAAGAAATGACAGCAAAAAAGATAAAACAAACAGCAAAAACGTTACCAACACATTCACAATAGCTAGTACTCCAGCTCTATACCAAAAAACAAACAAACATACTGAGCCCTTCTGCATCTGTGTTGCTTAGTAAGCTTCCTCAATACTATATTACTATATTAGTAATACTAATTACGCAATACCTCTCCAGCTTCGTCAAGTCACATTGTGGCTCAATGCCAAAATCTCTGGTGCAGCATGGAAAACCACGGCCACATTGGTCGGATTCTCTCGCAAAAAGTTTCCGTGCACAGCGTGGCATTCCACCTTCAAACCATCCACCTTGAAACTGCGCAAGGCGTGAGGAGGCGTGAGTGAAGGTGTTCTTTCAATGTCTTGTTTTTGGAGTTTTCTGTCTTCCTTGGCAAGTCGAAACTGCAGAGTTTGTCTCACTGCTTCAGTTAGTCTCGGCAGCGGAACATCGGTCAACACGAGGGAACGTTGCAAACTGGAGTGAAAGAGCACAATTTGGTTCGATTGAACACGCACTACTAGGTTGGAGGCCATTGCTAGATATTGCTAGTAGGTTGGAGGCCATCGCTTCTAGGTTGGAGTGAAAGAGCACAAATTGTCTCCTGGATTGAACAAGCACCTTGTGTTCTTGAAAGCTGGGCACCTCCAACTGACGAGTGAAGCTGGTCCAGCTGGTGATGAAGCTGTAGCGGCCACGGAAAAAGGGCCTCAGGAATGATCTAAACCTCACACTTTACGGGTTTCAAACACCATACACAGCCAACACACCCAAACGGCACACTATCCTGCTGTGGATAGCATGGATAAACATTAACTTTAAGCACTACGTTCCGTGCAATAGTGACAAGCTCCTTCACTCCTCCTGTTTGAAGATTGAAAGAACTACAGTAACTTCTCTGTCACGTCTGTCCATCTAACTGAGGATGAAGCCAGCACGGAATCTCATTCTCGTTGTAGTACTCCAGTTTTGAAAGACTTTCTCTGATTGCATTGGGATCGGAAGCTGCTTGGTGATCCATAGGGAAAGAGTACCAATAATTCCCGGCCACATTGCCTGGGATCCCTTTTCCGCTGCATTGCTTCTCACGCATGTTCACGGCGATATTCATGATGTAAGAGTTCTTGATCGCACGACTAAGAGCTGCAGTAATGATATCGTTGGACGAAAGAAACTCGACTTTTGGAGCTTTTCGACTTTCCTTTTCTTTGGCAATCTGCTGTTTGGAGAGTAGAAGAACATGATTCTGGCGCAAAGGACCGCAGATCAGTTGAGCCAACCAACCGAAAAATCCCCAGGTGGACACCTTCTGACGGTCTTTCAAAGACAAAGGCAGCAATTCAAAGCTTTGTCGAACAGGACTCTCCCAGTCCAAAGTGTTCGGTGGTTGTTTGGCTAAGAAAGCATTCAATTGACCAACCAGGTCATAGAGGGTCTTGGCATCGCCCACCAGATGTGACAAGTGTATGACGAAGCACACAAAAGGCTCTGGAAATGTCATCAGCTCCACCAAAAAGACTTGGGTTCCGTTCTTCACCGTGATCAATGCTGTCCCAGGTGGCGTGAAATGCTGCTCAAGGTTTCGCAGAAATTCTAGCTTTCCTTTCAAATCAAGGGAACCAATCAAGGGACCTGAGCTATGTCACCACAGGACCAAGGGCACAAACACTCAATGAGACTTAACACTAAATCAAATGTACGAAAACAGAGAAAATAAGCATATAAACTTTGTACTTGTACAACATAAGCCAAGGCGCACTCTTTTGGTGGGTCCACTACTTTGAAGAAGCAATCGGAGTGAGCTCCAGGTTCCACCAGCATCCGGCCATCTTTCTTCACTACTCGAGCTGACAGGAACGGGTTGGCTTCCACCAGCTTGTCGACACCAGCTTTCAGCTCTTTGCTCAGCATCCTAGATGTACGTGTCACAAACTGAGGGAGACACATTTTGTCAGAC